TCTTTGACACCTTCAATCTTTTCTCCATTTATCATGATATTATTTATTGGTCCAGCTGTGAGGATTTTTGTTTTCTTTACTTAGAGGTGCAACCCATACTGAAGGCTGTGGGCTTTGATTTTCATCAGTAAGTATTTTAAGTCCTTTTCACTTTCATCAAGCACCGTTGTATCATCTACATGTCATAGATTGTTAATGAGTCTTCCTCCTGTCTTGATGCCATGTTCTTCTTCATATAACCCAGCTTCTTAGATTATTTGCTCAGCAAACAGATTGAATAAGTATGGTGAAGGAATACAACCGTGGTACACACCTTTCTTTGATTTTAAAACAGTTGGTGTTGTCTTGTTCTGTTTGAATGACAGCCTCTTTGTTTATGTACAGGTTTCTCATGAGCACAGTTAAGTGTTCATGAGAATATACTTATTCTCCCCAATGTTGTCCATAACTTGTTATGATTCACACATTCAAATGTCTTTGGGTAGTGAATAAAGCACAGGAAAGCATCTTTCTGGTACTCTCTGCTTTCAGCCAAGATTCATCTAATATCATTTCAACCTCCTGATCTGAATCTTTGACAATTCCCTGTCAGTGTTCTGTTGCAGCCACTTTTAAATTAATTTTAGCAATATTTTACTTGCATGTGATATTAACAATATTTTCCAATGATATGTACATTCAATTGGGCCACTGCTCTTTGGAATCGGCACAAGTATGGATCTCTTCCAATCAGTTTATCAGATAACTATCTTCCAAATTTCTTGGCATAGATTGAGTGAGTGCCTCCGGTGTTGTATCAGTTTGTTGAATGATTTCAGTTTGTAGTTCATCTATTCCTGGAGTCTTGTTCTTTGCCATGTTGTTGCTGATGTTGTTGTTAAGTGCCTTCGAGTCAGTTTGACCCACAGCAACCTGTATAGGGTTTCCGAGGAGTGGCTGGTGAGCTTGAACCAACAGTCTTGTGGTTCAAATGACTTTGCAGTCCAGCACATTAACCCACAGCACCACACCAGGACTTCAAAGAGCATGCCAATTTCTTCTCATTTCCCATCACACATAGTTTCATTAAGGTATATCCCATGCTCTTGAAAATATGGCTTTATTATTTTGCTTGTATATAGCTAACTAGTGGGATTATTTATAATCTAAAAGATTTTATAAGGATCATTGTTAGGTGTAAAGAAATTCAACTTTCATATTTAGATAGCTTAGTGAATTTCCAGTATTATTTCCTTGTTAGTGTTTGTCAGGTGGAGTAGATTTATTAATATACTTTTCTATGACCATGTGGAGAATTACTGTGTAGAAAGGATGTATGTTTCATTTATATGACAGAAGTATCTGTTTCCTAAGTTCTAGAAATCTAAGAGGAAAAAAACCCACCCTAAAATTAGCGTAAATGTCACCACTTTTATAGTCTCGGGTGTTGCAGAAATTCTGGAATAAGACTGATAAATGAAGGATTTTGTTTCTTTGCTTCTTTCAATACTTGATCTTAATCCATAATCCTGTTAAATGAAATAAGCAAAGAAATATAGATGTGAGAATATTTCATTTGGCTGTGGTTTTAAGTAACTCTGATTTTACTGACCATCTGTATTTGGAATAATATAATGCAAGAGAAAATATAAGTACTGACTAGGTGTGATATATAAATGGTATAATTGTGGGCTGGTTAGTTTAGAGACAGTTCTACAGTGATTTGATTCTGATTCACTCCCTTCTTAGATCTGCTACTATGAAAAACTGTCAATCAATTTCAGCCTCTTAGACTACTCTGTAAAGTTAATTTACAACTTTGTGTGTATGTCTTTATGCATTTAGGAGGTAATAGGAAAATAAACCCATCCCTTGCAGATAATTTACAGCACTTGCTGTATGGTGATGACTCAGTTATCTAAAAAATGGAAGTGTAGAATCTTCACTAGACAAGTACTAGTAATTAAGATTAGATCAGTAGAAAGAAACTGGAGATTTATTTACACTTAATCTAATATTTGTTGTTTAGGCTGACCACACATATATATTAATACATCTCATTTGTTTATGATTTGAGGAGTTGAAAATTTTGCTTTGTTTCTCTAAGGATATTTAGCTTCTGAATGTTGTGGTTTGTGTTCGTAATGATACAAGAAGACAGAAATAATTTTAAACCAGCATAGTTTGAACAATTGGGTCAATAAACACAAGCAGGATTGATTAATGTAGCCCAGTTGTGGTGCTGTGGGCTAATGCGTCAGACTGCAAAGTTGTTTGAACTGCAAGGTTGGTGGTTCTAGCTCACTAGCTGCTCCTTGGACCCCTTTTCAGAGTTGCTATGGGTTGGAACCGACTCGACAGCACTTAGCAACAGCAACAATATAGTTTTAAAAGGAGCCTAGGTGACATACAAGTTACTCATTGAGCTGACAACTACAAGGTCAGTGGTTTACATCCATCAGCTGCTGTGTGGGCGAAAGATGAGACTTTCTGCTCCCATAAAGATTTTCAGCCATGGAAAATTTCAGACATGGGTCGCTGTGAGTTGGAATCCACTCCACAGCATACCACTACCACCATATAGTCTTAAAAAGCAAAGAAGTATCACTCTGCATTAAGTTTCTACAGTTTATGTATTCTATATATTTTATTTACACAGAAAATGCCTTGAAATGGCATGCCTTTATGAAATACTAGGACATGTTTAAGAACCAACTATAGTTTTATCCATGTGTATTTCTTTTAACGGAGTCCTGGTGTGGCGCTGTGGGCTAATGTATCATACTGCAAAGTCATTTGAACTGCAAGGTTGGTGGTTCGAGCTTCTCCTTGGAAATCCTATACAGGGTCACTATGGGTCGGAATCAACTCAACGACACTTAACAACAACAGTATCATTTATAATAAGCCTAGCTTCAAAAAATAATCTGTTTTTTTTTTTTTCTTCAGATTATGTTTATGGGGATGAATTATTTTATCAAGCAAATATGTAAGATAAATAATTTGTATCTATTAAGGAAGAAAATGTTCAGGTTATTAATATTTTTCCCCTTCTTGGTTTTACTTCTTTGTGTTTTTGTTTCTGATGCCAAATTTAGCCTTGCATTTTCTAAGTGACTCTTTCAGAAACATTTTCCAACACAGCCATCTTCTGTCCTATTAATCTAACTTATGTCTTATGTAATCAATTATAATGTCTGGTATCTACAACTCAACTATCTATACTTGTACTTTAAACGAGAAGTAAGTAAAAATGAAATTTTATAAAGAAAAGAGGACAGTACTCAAGTTTTTGGGATAATTAATTTACTTGATTATTGCTTGTTTACATTATGCATGTTAAAATGGGGGGTGGGGGTGGGGAAGAGTGCCATGCCCTTCATCGCACAGTGCTCACCACTTCTCGTTTGGGCTCACACTAACGGTTATGGGTTTTGTTATGGAATTTAACCAGTTACAAGTCAGGACCAGAAAATGCACAAGAGTACAGTTCTTTCTGTCCGGACAGGCTCTCCTTAGCCGTGCCCACAGGCAGGCCTCTCTCTGCCCAGGTAACATTAACAAAGCTCTTCTAGGGCTGCTGATAAAAAATGCTCCCCACTGGGCCATAAGCTTCAGCCTGAAGGCACTAGCTCCAAGGATGAGCAAAGCTAGTCCGCTCTCCACCCCAATTAAGTGCCTATAGACACCCCACTCTGCAAGCAAGCCTCAGCCCCAAGTCACTCAGCTTTTTACTTGTTCTGAGGGCTGGGAAAACCACTGATCTTTGTTGTGCTCTGGCGCTTGGTTCTTCTGCTGCTGCTACTTCAGCGTCACAGCTTTTTGTCCCTAGGTTTGGGGTCTAAAAGCTACGCTCCATTCCTGACTGTTCTCCTTTGAGGGTAGTGGGATTCCCCTTCCTGCATCTGAGAGTGCTCATTTTAAACCCATGTAAGAGTTCCAAGTTCTTTACAATCACAATGAACTCTGTTATCAGCATCTTTTCCCAGCTTTTCTTATTCACACCCATCAGGGCAGAAACATAATTTGGTGGGAGTTACAAAGAGCCATATAAAGTAATTCACTGCACTGCATTTACCCTGTGGGAGATAAAAAATAAAACATATGGTCTTTGCCTCAAGTTACTTGTAATCTTAGGAAGAGATGGCATGCAGACATGAAAAATTAAAGGACATTAGAAAACAGATAAAAGAAGTCACATGCATTGCATGTCAAATGAGTTGTGTAAGGAGTTTATGCTCTTGCAAATTCAGAAGCTTAAAACTTCTGAGATTTATCCATATTGTTGCTTGTATGTATAATTTGTTATACTGCTGAATACTATTCCCTTGTGTAAGTATTCCCAATTTGTTTATTTATTTACTAGTTGATGGACATTTGCATTATTTGATATTTTGGACTATTATGAATGAAACTATTGTAAACATTCACAGACCCATGTTAAGACGTTTGTTATCATTTTTCTTGGACAATATCCTAGGAATGGGTTTGGTTAGTTGTATGTAAGTGTTTGTGCTTTTAAAAGTTCCCAAAGTATTTCCCAAATGGACATACCATTTTTATATTTTTATTAGCAGTATATGTGAATTCCAGTTCTTTCTCATCTTTGCCAGATATTTTCTTCTAGTCTAGGCTTATCTTTTCTTTCTCTTGGCAGTGTCTTTAGAAATACAGAGGTTTTTAATTTTAAATACTTTTTGACTTTATCTTTTTAACTTAAAACTTAACACATAGTCATATTTGATTAGACAACAACGGGTATAGTTTTTTGGTGTATTAAAGAACATAAAAATATGTTTCTTCTCAATTCTACTCCTAGTATTTAAACACTTCAATAAACTAATAAAGTAAATGGTTTTAAATGTTATATGCAAAGATAAAGTGTTTATCTTAAGTAATATATTTTAGAATTTCCTTTCATATTTTAGAACTAAAAGTTACCTACCTTCATAAGTAGGAGAGCAGGGGAAGGATTACTTGTTGAATTCTAGTTTACCTGTTTTACTCCTCTTTTATTATAGTGTTATTCAAGATAAATTCTGTGGAATTATAAACATCTCCGTGGAAGGCCTACATGATGTAATGACTGAAGATCCTGAAACAAGAACTTATAAAGAGTAGGTGGAGCATTTAATTAATCTCAATTAAATTTGGAGGATATTAAATACATACTTTATGAGTTTTGTTTAGTCTCACCATATACACACAGTATGGTAACACTATAATTTGGCCGTATGTAAAGAAAAGTTTTCGTCCTATTTTGTTTATGTTTGCTGCTTAATTTTGAGGTAATTTATTACAGTGATCTCTGAATTAGGCTATTTTGATCTAATCATCATTTAATAGATTGTCGTCTGTTGTTGTTAAGTTCCATCGAGTCATTTCAAACTCATAGCTACCCTGTTAGGATTTCCAAGGAGTGGTTGGAGGGTTTGAACTTCCAACCTTTGGGTCTAACTGACCTTGCTGCCCAGTACTTATACTATAGAACTGCTCCAGATCTCCAAAAAAAATTTGACCTTAGGTTCTTAAAAAATTCCGAGTGTGTTTTAGCAGATTTTAAAATAATGTTGTAAGCATACTCCTTTTTTCAACTTAAAGTTCCCTTGCCTTTTAGGCAAGTTTGAACTACAAGGTCGGCGGTTCAAGCTCACCAGCTGCTCCTCAGAAACCCTATACAGGGTCGCTATGGGTCAGAATTGACTCGATAGCACTTCACAACAACAACAGTGGGAAAAAGATGACAAATTGTTTTATATTTGGTTCTAGTATGATTGGTGTCTTTAAGATGTTTGAGGTCAGTATATGATGGGTTTCAAAAAACTTGTGGAAAAATAGAAGTAAAAACTGCTGGACTTTCCCACAAACTTTTGAAAAAAGCCCCTTGATAGTATTGATGCTGTTGTTGGGTGCCACCCTGCTGATTTTCTCTCCATCGCTAACGAGTCTGGTAGAGTAGAACTGCTCCATAATGTTTTTCCTAAGGTGTAATCTTTATGGGTTAGAAAACCAAAAGGGAAGAACACGGTCAGCATTTCTCAAGCTGGGGGAACTGAAAAAAATTCAAGCCTCGACTTTCGTTATT